CCGTTGTGCCCCCCCCCCAATGACCAAATAGGGCGCGGGAATCTTAATAATTATTTTATTTAACTTTATTTATTTATTTTCGGGGGAGAGGTTTTTGCTATAGGGCGCGTGTGCTTGCCAGAGAGACAGAGAGAAAGAGAGAAAGTACCCCCCGGGGGGATGACCACGCTGCAATCCTTTCTCTTCCATTCTCTTGGGATCTTGGGCACGCATGCACACATGCCCGGTTTGAGTTTAAGCCACCGGGTCCGGGACTCGAACCACCGTCGACTACATGGGAGTACAGCGACAAAGCCATTATGCCAACTGCTGGTTCCCTTTATTTATTTTAATTTGACCAGAGAGGAACAGAGAGAGGGAAAGTGAGAAAGCAAGCCGCCAGATCTGGGACTTGAACTGCAGTCAGCCATGTGGGGATCCAGTGCCCTTAACCACCACACCACCTGCCAGCCCCAAAAGGAAGTTTTAATATCACTACCATAAAGGGAAAAAACAGTATTTTTCAAGTACAAATTCAGGTCAAAGCATGACTATTAAAAGCAAAAAATGGGGCCAGCAGGTGGTACAGTGGTTAGAGTACTAGACTCCCACATGACTGACCATGATTTGAGTTCTGGTTCATGGTTCAAGATTGTTTTCTCACTTTCTCCCTCTGTCTGTCTCTAGTGAGCACACATGCCCTATAGCAAATTTAAAATAATAATAATAAATATAATTATTTAAAAAACAATAAGTGTTGGGCTAGCAGGTGGTATAAAGGTTAAGGCTCTGGATCCCACATGGCTAAATGTGGTTAGTCTTGGACCTGGTGGATTGAGAATCACACCAGGTACATGTGCATATGTGCCCAAAAATCTGGAGAGGAGACTAAAGGAGAAGGGATTGTGGCATGGCCATTCCTACTGGGGGGTGATTTTTCACTTTCTCTCTCTCTCTCTTTCTTGCTCTGGCAAGCGCACATGTTCTTCAGCAAAAACTTCTTAAAAAGGCGAAAACATTTGTCCATCTATGAGACAAAAACTTCTTGGGTAACAACAAAGATTTACATTTACAAAAATTTGGGAAATGCTGGTGAAAGTAAAAGTCGCTAAGTGACGAATTAAGCACAGCCATAAGTATTTTATAGAGAAATATGACCGTAGTGTGGAGAATGTCAAGAATGGAGGCAAAGGCCAGTTAGGAAGCTATTTCAGTGGTCCGGTTCAGAGGGGAGACCTTAAGGAGGAACTAAGGCAGTAAATATGGACAAACAGATGAGGGTTTCATCAGAGGTAGACTCAGCTGTGACTGATCGGATGATGGTAGGGAAAAGTAGAGGATGAGTCTGAGGCTTCTGGCTTAGACATCCGAATAGAAAATAATTCCAATAACAGATCTAGGGAATCAAAAAGGAGTACGTATGGAGAAATGAGTTTTATTTTGCATATGGGAGTTCAAAATGTTTCTGTCATGTTCAGGTGATAATGTCCAATTGTGGAAATATAGACATAAAACCTCAAAACAGGTTGGGGTGAAGGAAGTAGATTTGAGAATTGTGTGGATGGCGGAGCTTAAGCCACCACCGTGGGTGAGACTGCTAGTGGGAATGGATAGAGCTTAAGGAGAAAGGCTCAGAAGCCAGGATCCTTAAATTTCTGGAGATGGTGAGGTAAGCTACTTTTCCGCAGCAGTATAATCTTTCCACCACCCCAAAAATACTAATAAAAAATTCTTTTTTGGTATGTATGTAAAGGAATGGGGCCATTTTAGAGCTCCTCTGATATATAGATCCCAAGAAAGAGTCAATCTGGCTCACTAGACAAAAATCTATTTTTAATTATATAAAAGTATACATATAAAATACAAAGAAAGTACTAAAAAGGTAAGTAAAATCAATGACACCAAAAGTGGACAGATCAGGGAATAATTTCTCTCAAGTTCTTTGGGATCTTACTAGTTGGTATTTGAGAAAAATAATATATGTAAGAGATACAAGCACAATTTTCCCCACAACTCACACCCCTTGACATTTTCCCCCCAGAGAAAGGTACATAGGAAAAACTGGCGGGTTTATAAGTATCAATAAAAACAGATTCCTCTATTATTTAGTGTAGAAGTCTCTATTCCAGCCCTAGATATGCTTTATAGAATACAAAGATGGGGCCTCCTTTCAAATGCTGATACAATTGTAGCTGGATTCCCTATTTCTGATCCCATTAAGTATTGGTCACCAAGATTACTTCAAAACTGAGAAATCTGCCTTTGATCTTGCTCCTGTCTAATCCAACACAGTAAATTGTGGTCTGTTTCATAATCTGTTTCTAAAAGCGAAATCTATGTAACTGTTTTTAGTTTGCTACAGGGTGGGGTGTGTGTGCTGGCTGGAGAGGGAGAGACAGAGCAAGAGAGGGAAAGTGAGAAATCACCCTGCAAGGGGATGTTCATGCCGCAATCTCTTCTCCATTCTCCTCTGGATTTTGGTTATGCAAGTGCATGTGCCCAGTGTTTTTCAACACATCTTCAGATGGCTGAATCCTACATGGCAACTGTGAGGTTCAAGTCCTAGACCTGATGGCTTGAAAAAGATGCCGGGCATGTGTGCGTGTATGCCCAAAATCCCAAGAGGAGAATGGAGGAGAAGGGATTGCAGCATTGCCATCCCCCTTGGAGGGCAGGAAGTGTTTTCTCATTTTCCCTTTCTCTCTCTGTCTCCAGGGAATGCACTTGCCTTATAGCAATTTTAAAAAACAATTACAGGAACCAGCAGTTCGCGTAATGGCTATGTTGCTGGACTCCCGTGTAGTCGATCACGGTTTGAGTCCTGGTCCTGGTTGCTTAAACTCACATTGGGCACATGTGCATGCGTGCCCAAGATCCTGAGAGGAGAATGGAGGAGAAGGGATTGTGGCATGACCATCCCCCCGGGGGGATGATTTCTCGCTTTCTGTCTCTCTGTCTCTCTCTGTCTTTCTGGTGAGCACATGCTCCCTATAGCAAAAACCTCTCCAAAAGAAAAAAAAAAATACAGAACCATTAAACTCCCAAATTTTGTTTAGGAAGTATACCGGGCAATAATACAGTAAAAAAGTGATCACAAAACAAGGGAAATACAGAGAGATCTCCAAAAGGAGAATGTTTCACCTGTAGTCTAGATGATCTCTCTCTTACTTCACCCAGGAGAGAGACTGGGAAGGAGTATGGTATTCAAAACATAAATAGCTGACCATTGATTCTTTTTCTCCTCATGTAGTCTCCCAAGGTTCTAATTAGGCAGTGCCATCACAATAAAGCCTCATCTGATTTTCCTGATCAATTCATACTCTAATAATCAATATGAAAGAAGAGGTGAGCAGAATGAAAACAAATGAGAATCTAAGATATGTGCATCTAAGATAGTAATCAGTAGCACCTTAGTGAGAGTAAGAGGGACATGGCCCTCACTCACCAAATAGGACAGATAAAGCTTCCACACAGCAAAATGAAGGGCAGAAAGAAATATGTTTTACCTTCTACCAATTCTGCAGGCAGAAAGGTCTAAATATAGGAGTTAACTAAGCCGGTGACTAAAGGAGAAGTGAAATAGGAACATTAGAAGATAATTAGCTTGGGACCAGCAGATGGCATAATGGTTAGTTGCTGGACTTCCACATGGCTGACCACGGTTTAAGTCCCAGATCACGCCAGGCACATTTGTGTGCATGCCCAAAATCCTGAGAAGAGAAGGGAGGAGAAGGAATTGTGGTGTAGCCATCCCCTCAGGGGGATGATTTCTCACTTTCTGTCTGTCTCTCTAGCGAGTGCAAAAATCTCCTATAGCGAAACTCTCTCTTTAAAAAGTTGAAAAAAAAAAAAAAGATAATTAGCTTTAACTCTGATCCCTTTCTCACTGTGTCGTACCTTCCAAATCCTGGACTACTGCTATGGCATAGATACATCCAGAAGCAATTTAGGTAGTAACTCCCATAAATTGTGTTTATAATTCCTCTCTTGTTCCAGGGCAGTCACTCAAGAGTAATTTAAATATGAAATCAGATTTGCACTTCCTTCCTTAAAACAAAGCAGCATTTGGAGGTAGAGGAGTATGGAAGTGAGGGGTAGGTGGAGAGATGTCAAGCAGGTCCAATTCAAGATAAACCAAAGCCAAAGACTTTATAGCATACCCTGTTGGAGTACAAGAGAAAGAAAGCAGAAACAAGAAAGGGTGGGCACATAGTCCTTATTTTATGCTACCTGTTATTTTAAAAGAACATTTAATCATATTGTGCTACCGAAATGACCACACAGAGTTAATCTGGAAGCTGAAAAGCCACCAAGACTCCAAAGAAAGCCTACTCTTTCTCATCAAGTGGAATGGAGATGTTTCAAATGAAACTAGATCTAAAACTGGAAGTAAAAAAAGGGATCTCTTAGCAAATAAGAACCCAGGTGTAGAATTTATACATATATATATATATCTATATTTTAAAGTATAAAATTGAGAAAGTATGTACAGAAATCATCCTAAGTCTTAGAAAGGGGATACAAAACAGGGCGTGGCAAGGATGGGGTTTGCAGGTGCCTAGCAGTTAGGAGAATGCATATTGCCCAACTGCCCGGCAGCCAGCATGAGGATGTCTTTCTTCTCCTTGTGGAAGCGCAGCTCCTTGCCGGCCAGCCGGGCTTCATCCAGCTCCTGCTCAGTGGAGGCCAGCTCTCTAGACAGTGCCCCTGGCACAGTCTGCTCCCGGCTCACCCAGTCCAAGGCCATTTGGTGGCGAATATCATCATCCAGGGCCCGGTGAGAATAATGAGCCAACACCTCCTGGTGGGAGAAAGAAATGTGATATCACTGAGAAGGAAAAGTTTATATCATATCACAACGACCCAGTGAGAACTATGAACTCTTAGCCTTTGAGTCCAAACTGATGTCAGCACCTAGTACTCCAAGGAGGTTTTTTTCTTTTATTTTTTTTTTAGGTTTTTGCAACAGGGTGCATGCCCTCACCAGAGAGAGAAAGAGGAAAAGTGAGAAATCATTTCCCTCGCCCCCCATCCCGCCCCCCGCCCCTGGGAGAAATGGCTGTCACAATCCCTTCTCCTCCATTCTCCTTTCAGGATTTTGAGCACACACACTTGCCTGATTCATGTTGGAATCTAACAAGGGCAAATCAGGTCCAACATTCAAACCACAGTCAGCCATGTGGGAGTTCAGCACCTTGACCACCACACCACCTACGGGCCCCTCCAAGGAGATTCTTTTTGTTGTTGTTGTCATTGTTTTCTTTTCTTTTTTTTCTTGTATAGGGCACATGCGCTTGCCAGCCAGACAGAAAGAGACAGAGAGATAGAAAGCGAGAAATCACCCCCCAGGGGGGATGGCCACACCGCAATCCCTTCTCCTCCATTCTCCTCTCGAGATCTTGGGCACGCACGCACACGCGCCCGGTGTGAATTTAAGCCACCGGGTCCGGGACTCGAACTGCGGTCAACTACGTGGGAGTCCAGCGACATAGCCATTACGCTAACTGCTGGTCCTTATTTTATTTATTTATTTATTTATTTAATTTTTAATTTGACCAGAGAGAAACAGAGAGAGAGAGGGAAAGCAAGCCACCAGCTCCAGGACTTGAACCGCACTCAGCCCTGTGGGAGTCCAACACCTCAATCATCACACTACCTGCTGGCCCCAGCAAGTAGATGCTTAAGGGAAACTTCCTATATATAGGGAAAAAGAAGCAGGCAAACAATCACAGTTAAGGGCCAGCAGGTGCCATGGAGGTTAAGGCAGCTGTATCTCTCATGGCTAACTGAGTAGTTCAAGTCCTGGACTTGGTGGCTTGAAAAACATCCCAGGTGCAGCCTGTGTGTCTGTGCCAAAATCCTGAGAAGAAAATCTCTTTGAGGGATGATTTCTCACTTTCAGTCTTTACTTTTCTTTCCTAATCTTTCTCCAGTGAGTGCATATGCCCTTAGCAAACTGAAACAAAACAAAACAAAAAGGAATCACAGCTAAGATTTAAATAGGAAAGACTGTATGAGTGAAGAGGGCACTTAAGTAAGTCTTAAGTCTTTCAATATTCACAACCTGATAACACGGCTGAAAGAGTCCTGCCAGACTCTCCCCACCAATAGGGAGCTCTTACCTGCCTGGAGCACTGTCTTTCCCTCATGGCCTTAAGGCTGCCGTTCCAGTGAAGCAGTTGAAAAACTGTCATTAACTCCTGGGGGAAGAAAATATGAAGTATCAGGACAGTGACTTTCTATTAGGGGGTTGCATACAAATTACATGGAAAACTTTGACAAAATGTGGAAATTTGTGGATGCATCTGTCATCACCAACTGTATGCCCTGGGAGGAAGGAAGTTATTATTTATATTTTGGAAAATATTCCAATAACCTCTTCTTTCTAGTATCAATGAGATAGGAATTAACAGGAGGCATTTTATATTTATTTATTTATTAGGGTGTCGGGAAAGCCATGATGTATTTTTCTAGGTTTTTCTATGCAAACAAAAATGTGTCATAACTTTCCTGACAAACCAATGTGTGTGTGTGTGTGTGTGTGTGTGTGTGTGTGTGTATGAAAATAGGCTGACTCATGTTATTAGAGCCTGGGAAGTAGGTGGAAGAGTACCTGGAATTCCAACATTGACTTGCCCTTGTTAGATTCCAACATGAATCGGAAGGCACCAATCCCTGTATTTGGGTTGTCAGCTTCCTCCCTGTTGCCCTAGTAACAGAGGAAAGGAAAAGACAAATAGATTTTCAATCAAGATTGTCATCTCAAGTATCACTGTCTAAGAGAAATATAATATGGATCATACATTTAATTAAAAATTTTCTACTCACCACATTAAAGTGAAAACAAACTGGCAAAATTAATTTTAATAGTATATTTTATTGAATCCAATATATAAGAATAATATTTTTCAACTGTAATAAGCATTTACATATATATACATACACGTGTGTGTATATATATACATATATATATATGTGTATATATATATACACACACACATATATAAATTGGTTTTTGCCATAGGGCACATGTGGTCACTGGAGAGAGAGAGAGAGACAATGAGAGGAAAAGTGAGAAATCATCTCCCAGGGGGGATGGCCACACAGCAATCCCTTCTCCTCTCGGGAGTCTGAGCATACACACACACATGCCTGGTGTAATTTACAAGCTGACAGATCTGGAATTCAAACCACAGTCAACCGTGTTGGAGTGCAATGCCTTAACCACTATACCACCTGCTATCCCCAGTATAAATGTTATTTTAAAATTCCATTTATTATTATTATTTTTAAAAATTTGATCAGAGAGAGACAGAGAGAGAGAGAGATGGAAAGTGAGAAAGCAAGCCACCAGGTCTGGGACTTGAACTGCAATCAGCCATGTGGGGATCCAGTGCCTTTAACCATCATGCCACCTGCTGGCCCCAGTATAAATGTTATTAATGAAATATTTTACATCTTTTTTCTTGTACTCATTTTTGAAATATGATAGCTATTTTACACTTAAAGCATATCTCAATTTAAACTAGCCACATTTTAAATGATAGCTATATGTGGGTCCAGACATTGGCACCGGGGATTAGGGTGGCCCACACGGCAGACTGTGCAGTTTAAGTCCTGTATCCAGCAGTTCCAAAAACATCCCAGGTGTGTGTGCATTCATACTCCAAATCCTGAGAGAACAGAGAAAGGATTGTGGTATAGCCATCTCCCCAGGGGTACTTTCTCTCTCTGTCTCTCCCTGATGAGCATATGCCCTATAGCAAATTTTTAAATAAATGATAACTACATGTGACTAGTGACTATTCTGTTGGTCAGCACAGACCTATAGGACTCCAAGGTTTGTCACACCTTTGAACTTGGTGATACAGAAAGGTCCATCTGATTTCCCCTGTTTTACAGGAAGGAAACACTGAGGCATAGAAAGTGCTGATTTATTTAAAATAACAAAGTGGGTTCAGCACACAGGATTGGACTAGCATAGATGTCAACTAGGCAATGCATTTGAAAGAAAACCAGTAGAAGCCATAAGCATGGGGAATTCCAGCAGATTGGCCTCCTGGACATTTGCCAAATGCATCTTCTATAGATTACATGACCCTGCAGAAGTAAAACCAAGATACACTGCCCTACCTTCTAGACTACTGTATGCAAAAAATAGTACAGTATAGAAGTAAGGGCCAGCCTGTAGCCTAATGTTAAGAGAGCTGAATCTCAGCTGACCACAGTTTGAATCCTGGCCCCAGAGAGGCCAGGAAAATATATCAGGTGCATGTGCTTGCATGTCCAAAATCTTGAACAGATGGGGAAATGGAGGTGAGGGGATTGCAGCATGATCACACCCCGTGGAGGTCACAGGTGGGAGGGGAGGATCACTCTGTCTCTCTCTGGCAAGCACAGGCATGCTGTAGCAATTAAAAATAAATAGGGGCCAGTGGGTGGCATCGTGGTTACAGCACTGGACACCTACATGACAGACTATGGTTCAAGTCCTGGACCTGAAGGCTTGAAAATCACACCAGGCATGTGTATATGTATGCCTCAAATCCCAGGAGGAGAATGGAATAGAGGGGATTGCAGCATGGCCTTTCTCCCTGGGGGGGGGGGTGATTCCTCACTTTCTGTCTTACTGACTCTTTCTGTCTCTCTCTGAGGAGTGCATTCACCCTATGGCAAAACCCCTAAAAATAAATAAAATAAAGTAAAAATAAATAAACAAGGGCCAATCGATGATGTGGTGGTTAAGGCGCTGGACCCCCACATGGCTAACCACAGTTTGGTCCTGGCAGCTTGAAAATCATACCAGGAACTTACACATATGTGCCCAAAATCCCAAGAGGAGAATGAAGAAGAAGCACGGCCATCCTCTACAACCTCCAGGGAAATAATTTCTCACTTTCTGTCTCTCTGTCTCTCTCTGGCAAGTACAAGCACCCTATGATAAAAGCCTAAAAAAAAATTAAAATCACAGAATTTGGATTTAGAAGTAAAAATCAGGACCAACAGTTGGCGTAATGGCTATGTCACTGGACTCCCAAGTATTCGACCGCAGTTTGAGTCCTGGACCCAGTGGCTTAAATTCACGCCGGGCACATGTATGTGCGTGCCCAAGATCCCAAGAGGAGACTAGAGAAGGGATTACACTGTGACCATGCCCCCAGGGGGTGATTTCTCGCTTTTTGTCTCGCTGTATCTTTCTGGCAAGCACATGCGCTCTTATAGCAAAAACCTATCAAAAAAAAAAAAAAGTGAAAAACTAAAGGAACTTTAACTGAGATGAATGCAAAAGGTAATCTTCAAAATTAGGCTTTAGGGCTCTGAGACAAAGAAACCATTTCATTTTTGCCTATAATTGTTCAATTAGATATTTAATTAGGAGTCTCCCAAACTTCTCCATGATACGGCACAACTATTTAATAAAATAATGATCACACATGTACATCCAACTGGGGTTCATGGAAGAGGCTGCTGGTAACAGGTTACTTTGGATAAAGGCAGGCCTTGCCTATCCCCTGAGAAAAGAGGGGAATCGGCACCATGGCACACCGTCTCATATCTGGAGCACACCAGAGTGGCGTGACCCAACAATTAGGACGTTCTGCCTCATATAAACATTTCCACATAAAAAATGGTTAAAACAACTCCATCTATTCAACAAACGTTAATCACAGAATGGTTGATAACTGAAAGAATCAATAAAATACAATTGGAAAGGAAAAAAAAAAGGAAGAAAAAATATAATTCGAAAGGAATTAGAGATCATTTAATTGAACTGAGTTACTTTATTGAGAAATCTCACTGAGGTTAGGTGATTTGTCAAAAGACAGAGCACAATATATTATCATTTTAGTTTCAAGAACTAAAACAAAACCTGAGAGGCCAGCAGGTGGCATAGTTGTTGAGGTGTTGAACTTCCACATGGCTGACTGTGGTTTGAGTCCTGGACTTGGAGGCTTTAAACTCATGCCAGGCATATGTGCGTGTGTGCCCATAATCCTAAAAGGAGAATGAAAAGATTGTGGTATGACCATCCTCCCAAGGGTGATTTCTTGCTTTCTTTCTTTTTCTGTCTCTCTGGCAAGCGCATGGGCCCCATAGCAAAAATCTCTCTTAGACAAAAAAAAAAAAAAAAAAAAAAGATGGCCTTTTCTGTCTCCAAAGATAAGATCAACCTCTAGGGGATAGATGAGAGAAGAGATGGAAAGAATCTGGGCTAGTAAATGAGGCATGCAGTAGATGCTCCATGGAGTCAATTAGCATAGAAATCTGCCCTATGTCTGGACTTCATTGTGTTAGATAATACATTTTCTTTTTTTTTTTTTTTTTAAGGAATTATTTATTTAATTTTATCTATTATTATCATTGTTCTTTTCACGCTCATCAGAGACAGAGGCAGGGAGGGAGTGAGAAAGCAAGTTGCAGGTCCAGGACTTGAACCACAGTCAGCCATGTGGGAGTCTAGCACCTTAACCACTACACTACCTGCTGGCCCCAATAATAAATTTTCTTTATTTCCCTACCTCAATATGAACTGAGATTTTCTGTTACTTTTATCCAAAGGCAGCAGATTACTTATGCTAGGTGCTGAAATATACATTTCTCTCTTTTGTATTATAATTCAATGTGATAGTTATAATTATTATCCTATTTTGCAGATGAGAAAACTGAGACTTAATGAAGTAACTAACTCAAAGTTACACAGCTAGTAGAACATAAATAATTAATTTCGGATTTTGCCATAGGGCATGTGCACTCATCAGAGAGAGACAGACAGGGAAAGGAAAAATGAGAAATCACCAATGAGAAATCACTCCCTGGGGGGATGGCCATGTCCCAATTCCTTCTTCATTCTCCTCTTGGGATTTGGGGCATGCATGCACATATACCTGGTGTGATTTTCAAGCTGCCAGGTCTGAGACTGGAACTGTGGTTGATCATGTGGGAATCTAGCACCTTAACCATCCAGCCACCTATTGGCCCCATAGAACCATAATTTCAATAAAATGTCATGTTCCAGCCAGCAGATGGCATGGTGGTTAAGGTGCTGGATCCCACATGACCAGCTCCTTGAGTCAAGTCCCAGACCAGCAACTTGAAAAATATATAAGATGCATATGTGTGCATGTCCAAAATCCCAATAGGAGAGTGTTGGAGAAGGAATTATGATGTGGTCATCCCCTCTGGGAGGGTGATTTCTCACTTTCCTTCTCTGTCTTCCCAGTGAGCACATATGTCCTTTGGCAAATTTGTTTTTTAAAAAGGCCATGCTTATAACTACTGCACATTCCACTTTCTGTAATCCAAAACTAATGTTTCATTTCATAATACCGTTTGGTAATTTAAGAGTGGCAAATGTATTTTCCAAACTAAAAAAAAAAAGATTTCTTCTGGGGCCAGGAGGTGGTATAGTGGTTAAGGTACTGGATACTCCCACATGGCTGATCATGGTTCAAGTCCCAGACCCAGCAGCTTGAAACTCATGCCAAGCATGTGTGTGTGTGTGTGTGTGTGTGTGTGTGTGCATGCCCAAAATCTCAAGAGGAGAATGGAAGAGAAGGGACTATAGTGTGGCCATCCCCATAGGGGGTGATTTCTCACTTTCTCTCTCTCTCTCTCTCTCCAGTGAGTGCATGTGCCCTATAGCAAAAATCTCTCTAAAAAAATAAATAAACAAGGATTTATTTCTTTTGCATTCGTGTTAGAATGCATATATGAGAGTATGTGAGAGAGAGAAAAAGCACTCTCCACAGGGCCTGGTCATGCCATATTCCCCTTCCTTTAGTCTTCCAGTCAGTCAAATCTTGGACAGGCCCAACATGTTTCAGGTCAACCAGGCCAGGATTCAAACCATAATCACTATCTAGAATCTGGCTTGTCTGCAGCAACAAACCAAGGAGCTAGCCCTTCCAATTTTAATTGGCTTTGATTAGTATAAAAATCCTTCTATTTCCTGTAGATGCTATTGACTGGGGTAAAGAATAATGGGATAAATACAGATGGGTTCTAAGTAACAAAGAAAAGCCAATTTATAGTTTAAAGTAATAAACAACTAACCTACAAAGCAGATAGCTAAATTTATGTAATTATATCCTAACTAAATGCAAAGAAACAGAAGCAGAAAATTGGCCTGATTTTTTTTGCTTTATCTTAAATTTTTTTGGGAGGAAGGCAGTATTAATTTCTATTTTTTTAAGAGAATTATTTATTTAATTTTATTTGTTATTATTATTACTTTTTAATTTGACCAGAGGGAAACAGAGAGAAAGGGAAAGTGAGATAGCAAGCTACCAGGTCCAGACTCAAACTGCAGTTGGCCATGTGGGAGTCTAGCACTCCCAACTACCAAGCCACCTGCCAGTCCCAGCAGTATTAATTTCTAAGAGTACCTCTGAACTAAGTCTGCTTAGGTTCTAGTGTTGCCCTGTATTACTTATTAGTTGTATTACATTAGGTGAAACGTCTGTGTTTTTTAGTCTTCCTGTCTGTAAAACAGGGATAAAAGTAGTATTTACATCTCAAAGGAATGTTATAATAATAAAATGAGATGAAATCTATATAAATGCCCTAGAATACTCCCTTGCACAAGGTAAATACTCAGATTAGCTATAGTTATTATTATTAACATATAAAAGAACAGCTGTTCTTTATTTTTAGAATTATTTTATTCAACTTTATTTGTTAGTATTATTTGTTCAGAGGGAGACAGAGAAAGAGAGAGAGTAAGTGAGAAAACAAACCACCAGGTTCAGGAGTCGAACCGCAGTCAGCCATGTGGGAGTCCAGCACCTTTAACCACCACACTACCTGACAGTCCCACAGCTGTTCTTTATAAAGACAGTAAATAAATTATCCTCCTTATTCCTAGAAAGGAGAAAAGATAAGACACAGCTTGTATTATAAATACAGCTTTATCATAAAGGGGTTCTTTATTAATAAAATGAAGTAATAGAGGCAGGAGACAAGTAACAACAGAAATAGCTATATAAAAAAACATAAGAGTCAGCCTATGACCTGGTGGTTAAGATGGCTGGATCCCACATGGCTGACCACACAGCCTGAATCTAGACCCAGGAGCTTAGAAATCATGCCAAGTGCATACACTACATGCCCAAAAGGCTGAAAGGAGGGAGAGATGAAAGGGACCATGTCCCATGGGGGACGCTTTCTCATTTCTCCCCCTCTTTTTCCAGCAAGCACACGTGCTCTCTGGCAAATTAAAAAACAAACAAACAAAAAAGTAAGGAACTGAGTTCTTAAACCAAAATCAGGAAAAGCAAATTTCAAGCTCTACTTTCACTTTGAAGTAGCTCTAGAAGTCCATAAGTCTTGAATTAAAGGTTGCTAGATACCAAAGAAACATCATGAAAGAGACAAAATAACAAAAAAATATAAATATAGATATAGAATTAGAGACTAAGACATATGGAGCACATGACACAAACGGCTGACAGAAAATTAACAGAACAGAGATGCAGACAGGGAAGAAAGAAAGAATTTATGCTCTGTTGCTCAGTAGTTTACAAGACTTCCCAACCGGCCAGTTCTCCTATCTCCCAATCGCCTTCCTTCCAACTCCATGTGACTTACATTAAAAGATGCCAGGGCCTCGGAGACACTCTTCTCAATGAACTCATCAGTGATTCTCCGAGAAGGATGTTCATTAAACACGGAGTTCATTAAAGCAATCTTTGCAGCACTCCGCCGAGCCTCAGCTTTTGTGGGGCAAAACTAGGCAAAGGAGACAGAGAGAAAAGGTGTATTATGTGCACCTAGACAGGGAAAGGAACAGCAGGGAGAAAACACTTGAGATAGAAGATACTTGGACACTCTTCGGATACATCAGTTGTGTTTTGTTCACTCTCCAAAGATTTTATTGTAAAATGGCTGGGATGTTTGGAAACACAATTTTGATTTAACAGCTTGAAATCATTAAGCAACTGGAGTTGGTTATGGCTCATACCAAATTGAATGCAGAATGAGAAAGCCTGCTGAAGTCAGCATATAATCAATCACTGGACATGAAAAATACCTCTGTTTTAATTGTTAACAGAATTAATTACTTAAGAGCCAGATTCTGGCCAGTTTGTATTTTGTTCTGTGGATAGCCAAAGTTTTCTGGGTCCCTCTAGATAACCCAAGATTAGAACAAAGCTGTGTCCAGGCTGCTTCTGCAGAGGAGGCCTGTAGTCTCTATCAGAAGCACCCATCTGGGATTTCTGGACTTCACTATTAACTCTGAGCAGACGTTTTCCCCAATAATGTAGTGAACCTAAGGGGCTATTCCTGAACACAGTCTAAGTCTGATTAAAGAATTTATAGTCTTCACCCCAACTCAGTGGAAACAAGCAGAAGAAGGGTGGCTAAGGGGAGGAAAGCTGACCTAAGTAAATCAAGAAAAATTTAAAAATCAATTTGTGTCTTTACATTATATCCAACATAAGTATCTTAGAACAAGTGTAATTTTTCTAAGTCTTAAGTCATTCAATTTCAGGTCTGTAGTCACCAGTGCATTCCCTTATAATGCACCTTTATGGACTGCCTCAAAGGCTTCTGTGCCCTTTGTCACTTATGATTAAAATTAAAGGAAGGGTGGAGCCAGCAGGTGGTGTGGTAGTTAAGTGTGCTGGATTTCCACATGGCTGACTGGTTGAGTATTGGACCTGGCAGCTTGCTTTCTCACTTTCTCTCTCTCTCTCTCCTTCTCTCTCTCTTACTCTGTTCCTCTCTGGTCAAATTAAAATAAATAATGGGGTACCAGCAGATGACGTGGTGGTTAAGGTGCTGAACACTCCCACATGGCCAGCCACAGTTCAATTCCCAGACCTGGTGACTTACTTTCTCTCTCCCTCTCTGTGCCTCTCTATGATCAAATGTTAAAAATATAAAAAATAAATAAATAAAATAGAATAAAATAATTCTTTAAAAATAATAAATAAATGAGGGACCAGCAGTTGGCATAATAGCTATGTTGCTGGACTGCCATGCAGTCAACTGCTGTTCAAGTCCAGATCTTGTTTTCACGTACCCTATAGCAAAAGAACCTCTCCAAAGAAAATAATAATAAAAATAAATGAATAAAATTAAATAAAATAATTCTTTAAAAATAAAAATTAGAGGAAGGGAAGAAAGTGATGTTGTATTTTTAAAAAGCAGATAAGACAAGGCTTTTTTCACTATATGACCATCTTTACTAGCAATGATTTCTAATTTCCTTTAGCTGATAGACCTCTTTAGAGATCAGTGTATTAATGCTAAGTCTTCTTGTTTCTTCCATTTCTCTGTTTCTACTTTTCTATTCTAGCTTACTCCCCATTGTAAGCTATAGCACTGTTTCTGAAAAAGTTATCAGTGAAGAAAACCACTTTGGCAGGAGACATCTCACTTGCCAAAGTGGATATAAAAGATATAAACTAAAAGATGCAAGATAGATAATTCCACTTTTTCAGAAAATAACAGAACTCAAATGACCATAGTGGTTTGGTTATGGACATCATCATAAAAGTATCAAATCAATATTTAACAATGCAATGAGATGGGAAGAAGGAAAAAATTTACTCTGTAAGAAGAGAAACCATTAATATCAGTCAATCTGGGCATACATTTTTTTCTCTGAAATGGCTGAGGTTCTGTTGGAGGCAGGAATGGAGCTGCAATGGCACTTATTCATGCACAGATACATTAAGTGCCTACTAAATGCTGGGCACTGAGTTGAATGGTAAAGACTTAACAGTGAATGAGCAAGACAGACAAGATCTCCGCACAGTCCTCTAGGGGAAACAATCAGTCATGGTATATTATAATATGAAGGGATGTTCAAGGTGCTATAGAAGCACAAAACACGGGTTCTAACCTTGAGGAAGGGTTACACAAACCACATGGAAAAGAGAACAAAGCTGTCTATTATCTTCTCCAAATTCCTATTCAGACTCTAAGTTGGCATTTCAGAAAGCTGCTTTCCTGTCTACAATGTAAAACAATTCATCTTTGATGATAATATTCACACCAATCCATAATAATTTCTCACTACCCCATAATAGCAACCTTTTTATCATCACATGTCTTTCATATAAGTATAGAATATTAGTAGTAGAAAAGACATTAGAAATATGGGGCTGAGAGGTGGCGTGGTGGCTAAGGGCGCTGGATTCCTGCATGGCCAAACACAGTTTGAGTCCTGGACCTTGTGGCTTGCTTTCTCTCTCTTTCCATCTCTCTCGCTCTTTCTCATTCTGTACCTCTCTGGTCAAATTAAAATAAATAAATAAAAATTTTAAAAAATAATCTTCTTCATGATATAGATGAGAAAACGGAGACCCAGAGAAGTTGCCTGACTTGTTTCACTTGTAGTTAGGGGAATGAGAATGTGGGTCTCCTAACTCTTGGTGAGTACTATTTCTACCATACATAATCCCTCCCTTTTGATCTCTTTGAGAACTCAGACACTGTTTTCTTTAGTAATTGCCTATGAAAAACATACCGGGGAAAAGGAATACTATTTTGTGTCCTCAAAAAGAGGTGGTAATAATAGGAGACACATCAGAACGTGGTTTAGGTACTGGCAGTCTGATATACTGAACAATGGCATATTCATAACTGCTCAAATTCAAAATGGTTTAGAGTTTTTGCAAGCTGAAAGAAAAGCATGCTACTGAGGTTCTCTTGTGGTCAAATGAGCCTCAGATGCTTGCCAGAAGGTTCTGCCCAAAACTAGTTTAGGTCCTTAAATATGTGATTGCAGGCATAGATTTAATGGCCAAAGTGATAGAGAAAGCCCTCACTAGCACCTAAGCATTTATCTTTGCTACTGTCACATCCCAGTTCTTACCTGGAAACTCCCAAAGCAACTTCCCCCAGGCAGGGTGACATAGCAGACATAGGGAGGGCTGTTGGAGGGAACCATCTCATAAACCACTAGAGCCCCATTCTTCAAGTCAGCCCCACGTGACTGCTTCATCTGCCAGAATTCCTGAAGTGCCTCCACCACATTCACTATAGAAAAAGAAGTAGTTAAGTTTAGCAATGAGAACACTAAGTGGGTCTATGCTTCAATGCAATATCTATAATTTGAACCTGCATTAAGAGTTTACCTTGGGACCGGCAGGTGGCGTGGTGGTTAAGTGCACTGGACCCTCACATGGCCGACTGAGGTCCAAGTCCAGGACCTAGCGGCTTGCTGTCTCACTTTCTCTTTCTCTGTCCCTCTCTGGTCAAAATTATAAGTAAATAAGTAAAGTTAAATAAAATAATTCTTAAAAAAAGAGTTTACCTCTTGGGCTAGCAAGTGGCGTGATAATTAAGGGATTGGGACTCCCACATGGTTGAGTGCAGTTCAAGTCCCAGACCTGGCAGCTTGCTTTCTCATTTTCCCTCTCTCTCTCTCTCTCTCTCTCTGTTCCTCTCTGGTCACATTAAAATAAATAAGTAAAGTTAATTAAATTAGCTTTTTTTTTGGAGAGGTTTTTGCTATAGGGCACATGCGCTCGCCAGAAAGACAAAGAGAGACAGAGAGACTGAAAGCGAGAAACCACCCCCCAGGGGGGATGGCCACGCCACAATCCCTTCTCCTCCATTCTCCTCTTGGGATCTTGGGCACACACGCACATGCACCCGGTGTGAGTTTAAGCCACCAGGTCTGGGACTCAAACTGTGGTCGACTACATGGGAGTCCAACGACATAGCCATTATGCCAACTGCTGGTTCCAAAAAAATATTTTTTTTGAAAAAGAGTTTACCCCTTAGTATCCTACTTTTCACCTTTTTATTTCATTTTCTTTCTATTTTTTTAATAATTAGTTATTATTGGGGGGAAAGCCTTTTGAGTTCCCTGTGTATTCTGGTTATAGTCCCTTATCTGAGGCATAGTTTACAAAAATATTCTCCCATTCTGAAGGTTGTTGATTCACACTAATTACTGTGTCCTTGGCTGTGCAGAAATTTCTTAATATGATGTAACCCCACCTGTCTATTCTGGGAATTACTGCCTGTGCTTTGGGGGTCTAATTTAAGAAGTCTTTGCCTACTCCAATGTCTCCCAGAATTTCCCGTGTTTCCCACCAATAGTTTTTGTTTTAAATAATTACTTTATTTAACTTTATTTATTTATTTAAACTTGACTAGAGAGGGACAGAGTGAGAGAGAGAGAGAGGGAGAGGGAAAGTGAGAAAGCAAGCCACCAGGTCTGGGACTTGAACTGTGGTCAGCCATGTGGGAGTCCAGTGCCCTTAACCACCATGCCACCTGCCAGCCCCTCCACCAGTAGTTTTATAATTTGAGGTCTTAGGTTCAGATCTTGTATCCATTTGGAGTTGATTTTCGTTAATGGTGAAAGATGGGAATCCAGTTTCATCTTTCTGCAGGTGGATACCCAGTTTTCCCAACACCATTTGCTAAAGAGGTTTTCCTTTTCTCACTGGATTGACTGTCAAAAACCAGTATCCTTTGTCAAAAATCAGTTGGCTATATGTTTTGGAGGTTTATTTCTTGGGTCTCTCTTCTATTCCATTGGTCCACCTGTCTATTTTTGTGCCAATACCATGCTGTCTTGATTATCACAGCTTTATAGTATATTTTGGGGTCAGGGAGTGAGATGCCGCCCACTCCACTCTTCCTGCACAGGATAGCTTTGTCAATACAGGGTCTTTTATGATTCCAGACAAATTCTATTATTGTCATTTCTAGATCTATGAAGAATGTATCTAGTAATTTGATTGGAATTGTATTAAATATGTAGATTACTTTGGGTAGAATTGCCATTTTGATTATATTAATCCTTCCAAACCAGGAACATGGGATGCACTTCCACATTTCTGTGTCTTTTTCAATGATCTTTTTAAAGGTTTTCATAGTTTTCCTTGTAAAGGTCTTTGACTTCCTTGGTTAGGTATACCTAGGTATCTTATACATTTTGTGGCTATGGTAAAAGAAATTCCTTTCTTCAGTTCTACCTCGGTCAGCTTGTTCATATATAGACATGCTATAGATTTTTGGATATTGATTTTGTATCCTGCGACTTTACTGTATTCATTTATTACTTTGAGAAGTGTTTTCATGGATACCTTTGGGTCTTCTATGTATACCATCATGTCATCTGCAAATAAAAATATTTTCAACTCTTTTTTCCCTATTTGAATGCCTTTTATATTATTCTTTTTTCTGATTGCATTGACTAGGACTTCTAGTACTGTATTGAAAAGGAGTGGAGAAAGTGTGCAGCCTTGTCTTGTGCCAATTTTTAGTGGAAAAGCTTTCAGTTTTCCCCTATTCAGTATAATGTTAGCTATAGGCTTTTCATATATAGCTTTTATTGTGTTGAGAAATAACCCTTCTGTGCCAATTTTGCTGAGTCTTAATCATGAAGGGATATTGTATTTTATTGAATTCTTTTTCTGCATCAATTGAAATGATCATAAGGTTTTTATCTTTCTTTCTGTTGATGTAGTGTATTATGTTTATGATCTTGCATATGTTGAACCACCCCTGCATCCCTGGAATAAAACCTACCTGGTCATGATGAATAATCTTTTTTATATGTTGTTGGATAGGATTTGCAAGTATTTTTTGAGAATTTTTGCATCTATAGTCATCATAGATACTGGTTTGTCATTTTCCTTTTTTGCCATGTCTTTACCTGTCTTGGGAATGAGGATAATGGAGGCTTCATAAAATGAATTTTTTTTTTTTATTATTATTATAAATTTTTTTCTTTTCTCATCACAACACACATATGAATTTTCCATCCAAAATACACTGTGCATTGGCTCAATCAAGCACATCAACATATATGTTCTCAGCAAATGATTTCCCAATTTTTGTGTCCTGCATACCTTGCCTTTTGTTTTGCCATCCTAGGTTCCCCATCCCCACCCTCTGCCATGTCCCGTCATCCTCCTCCATTGTCCCTAACATTCATGATTGCCCTCAATGCCTTCCGCCCCCCCC